TTCAAAAAAATATAATTATTTCCTCCAAAATGCTGAACCACCCCGGCCCTACCATTTCGGCTGAACGAAAGTGGTGTTTATTCAAATTATCACAATATTTGCCCCTACGCCCCTTTCAAAGGGATATGGGGGTCAGGATCATCTAATGGCATGTAGGTACATTCATTGTGGAGAAACTAGCCTATTAAAAAAAAAAAATTATTTTCCTCCAAAATCTTGAACCACCCCGGCCCTTACCATTCGGCCTGAAATTGGGTTTATTCAAATTATCACAATATTTGCCCCTACGCCCCTTTCAAAGGGATATGGGGGTCAGGATCCATCTAATGGCATGTATGTACATTCATTGTGGGGAAACTAGCCTATTCAAAAAAAAATATATATTTTCCTCCAAAATGCTGAACCACCCGGCCCTTACCATTTCGGCCTGAAATTGGTGTTTATTCAAATTATCACAATATTTGCCCCTACGCCCCTTTCAAAGGGATATGGGGGTCAGGATCCATCTAATGGCATGTATGTACATTCATTGTGGGGAAACTAGCCTAATCAAAAAATATAATTTTTTCCTCAAAATGCTGAACCACCCCGGCCCTTACCATTTCGGCCTGAAATTGGTGTTTATTCAAATTATCACAATATTTGCCCCTACGCCCCTTTCAAAGGGATATGGGGGTCAGGATCCATCTAATGGCATGTATGTACATTCATTGTGGGGAAACTAGCCTATTAAAAAAAAATATATTTTCCTCCAAAATGCTGAACCACCCCGGCCCTTACCATTTCGGCACGAAAGTTGTGTTTATTCAAATTTTCACAATATTTGCCCTACGCCCCTTTCAAAGGGATATGGGGGTCAGGATCCATCTAATGGCATGTATGTACATTCATTGTGGGGAAACTAGCCTATTCAAAAAAAATAATATTTTCCTCAAAAATGCTGAACCACCCGGCCCTTACAATTTCGGCACGAAAGTTGTGATAATTCAAAATTTTACAATATTTGCCCCTCGCCCCTTTCAAAGGGATATGGGGGTCAGGATCCATCTAATGGCATGTATGTACATTCATTGTGGGGAAAATAGCCTATTAAAAAATATAATATTTTCCTCCAAAATGCTGAACCACCCCGGCCCTTACAATTTCGGCCTGAAATTGGTGTTTATTCAAATTATCACAATATTTGCCCCTACGCCCCTTTCAAAGGGATATGGGGGTCAGGATCCATCTAATGGCATGTATGTACATTCATTGTGGGGAAACTAGCCTAATCAAAAAAATATAATTTTCCTTCAAAATGCTGAACCACCCCGGCCCTTACCATTTCGGCCTGAAATTGGTGATATTCAAATTATCACAATATTTGCCCCTACGCCCCTTTCAAAGGGATATGGGGGTCAGGATCCATCTAATGGCATGTATGTACATTCATTGTGGGGAAACTAGCCTATTAAAAAAAAAATATATTTTCCTTCAAAATGCTGAACCACCCCGGCCCTTACATTTCGGCACGAAATTGGTGTTTATTCAAATTATCACAATATTTGCCCCTACGCCCCTTTCAAAGGGATATGGGGGTCAGGATCCATCTAATGGCATGTATGTACATTCATTGTGGGGAAACTAGCCTATTAAAAAAAATATATATTTTCCTCCAAAATGCTGAACCACCCCGGCCCTACCATTTCGGCCCGAAAGTTGTGATAATTCAAATTTTTACAATATTTGCCCCTACGCCCCTTTCAAAGGGATATGGGGGTCAGGATCCATCTAATGGCATGTATGTACATTCATTGTGGGGAAACTAGCCTAATCAAAAAATATAATATTTTTCCTCCAAAATGCTGATGAACCACCCCGGCCCTTACCATTTCGGCCTGAAATTGGTGTTTATTCAAATTATCACAATATTTGCCCCTACGCCCCTTTCAAAGGGATATGGGGGTCAGGATCCATCTAATGGCATGTATGACATTCATTGTGGGGAAACTAGCCTATTAAAAAATAAATTTTTTCCTTCAAAATGCTGAACCACCCCGGCCCTTACATTTCGGCCCGAAAGTTGTGATAATTCAAATTTTTACAATATTTGCCCCTACGCCCTTTCAAAGGGATATGGGGGTCAGGATCCATCTAATGGCATGTATGTACATTCATTGTGGGGAAACTAGCCTATTAAAAAAAAATATAATATTTTCCTCCAAAATGCTGAACCACCCCGGCCCTTACCATTTCGGCTGAAATTGGTTTGTTTATTCAAATTTACACAATATTTGCCCCTACGCCCCTTTCAAAGGGGATATGGGGTCAGGATCCATCTAATGGCATGTATGTACATTCATTGTGGGGAAACTAGCCTAATCAAAAAATATAATTTTTCCTCCAAAATGCTGAACCACCCCGGCCCTTACCATTTCGGCCTGAAATTGGTGTTTATTCAAATTATCACAATATTTGCCCCTACGCCCCTTTCAAAGGGATATGGGGGTCAAGATCCATCTAATGGCATGTAGGTACATTCATTGTGGAGAAACTAGCCTATTAAAAAAAAAAAATATTTTCCTCCAAAATCTGTGAACCACCCCGGCCCTTACCATTTCGGCCTGAAATTGGTTTTATTCAAATTATCACAATATTTGCCCCTACGCCCCTTTCAAAGGGATATGGGGGTCAGGATCCATCTAATGGCATGTATGTACATTCATTGTGGGGAAACTAGCCTAATAAAAAAAATAATATTTTCCTCCAAAATGCTGAACCACCCGGCCCTTACCATTTCGGCCTGAAATTGGTGTTTATTCAAATTATCACAATATTTGCCCCTACGCCCCTTTCAAAGGGATATGGGGGTCAGGATCCATCTAATGGCATGTATGTACATTCATTGTGGGGAAACTAGCCTATTAAAAAAAAAATATTTTCCTTCAAAATGCTGAACCACCCCGGCCCTTACAATTCGGCACGAAAGTTGTGATAATTCAAATTTTTACAATATTTGCCCCTACGCCCCTTTCAAAGGGATATGGGGGTCAGGATCCATCTAATGGCATGTATGTACATTCATTGTGGGGAAACTAGCCTATTCAAAAAATATTAATTTTCCTCCAAAATGCTGAACCACCCCGGCCCTTACCATTTCGGCCGAAATTGTGATAATTCAAATTTTTACAATATTTGCCCCTACGCCCCTTTCAAAGGGATATGGGGGTCAGGATCCATCTAATGGCATGTATGTACATTCATTGTGGGGAAACTAGCCTATTAAAAAAAAAAATTATTTTCCTCCAAAATGCTGAACCACCCCGGCCCTTACAATTTCGGCCGAAAGTTGTGATAATTCAAATTTTTACAATATTTGCCCCTACGCCCCTTTCAAAGGGATATGGGGGTCAGGATCCATCTAATGGCATGTATGTACATTCATTGTGGGAAAACTAGCCTATTAAAAAAAAAAAATTTTCCTCCAAAATGCTGAAACCACCCCCGGCCCTTACAATTTCGGCACGAAAGTGTGGGTAAAAACAGCCTATTAAAAAAAAAAAATATTTTCCTCCAAAATGCTGAACCACCCCGGCCCTTACCATTTCGGCCTGAAATTGGTGTTTATTCAAATTTTTACAATATTTGCCCCTACGCCCCTTTCAAAGGGATATGGGGGTCAGGATCCATCTAATGGCATGTATGTACATTCATTGTGGGGAAACTAGCCTATTAAAAAAAAAAATTATTTTCCTCCAAAATGCTGAACCACCCCGGCCCTTACCATTTCGGCCCTGAAATTGGTGTTATTCAAATTATCACAATATTTGCCCCTACGCCCCTTTCAAAGGGATATGGGGGTCAGGATCCATCTAATGGCATGTATGTACATTCATTGTGGGGAAACTAGCCTATTAAAAAAAATATATTTTCCTTCAAAATGCTGAACCACCCCGGCCCTTACAATTTCGGCCGAAATTGTGATTATTCAAAATTTTTACAATATTTGCCCCTACGCCCCTTTCAAAGGGATATGGGGGTCAGGATCCATCTAATGGCATGTATGTACATTCATTGTGGGGAAACTAGCCTATTAAAAAAT